TAAATACTTTTCCCAGCCACACTATTGGCTATTTACAAAGGACTGTTTACTTTAGGTAGAGAAGACTGCTCTTTAAGAGGACATAATTTCCAAAGAAGCAGGCTTACTCTGGGCACATGGATCACTGAAGGCACATGAAGATAGTTCATCAGGTACACACAGGTGCAAACGTTTTTCAAAGAATCAGCCTCTGCATCTTCAGCCTTCAAATGTTTCTGTTTGAAGCTCTCAAGGACACATCTGCCAATCTTTTTTTTCTATTGCCCCCTTTCCTCATCAGCTTCTTCTTGCAACCTTTTAGCCATTCTCAGACTCTTCTAGACTTTCCAGGTACAGTATCCTGCAATGCAGAATTGTCACAAGTACCAAGGACATGAGCAATTCATATATATGCTCATCCCAAAGAAGAGCCACAGAAAAAGTGATGTCTGGTCTGTTCCACAGGGAGGCCCGACTTTGCCCATTAAATGAGATGGCAGGCAGCGTTCATGAACTCAGTGGAGCAACTCTGCAGCTCCAAGGTTCTGCAGAAAATCCTTCGCACAGTATCTAACATAAATATGCCAAAATGAATCTTTTATCATTTGGCTTACTTTTGAAATACACATGTTAGTCTTAACATGCGTGAGTTTCTCTAAAATATTTCATTAAACAAATGAGAAAAATAAAGCTTGAAGATTAATATTCTAGAGCAACTTTACCCGAGGTTACAAAATACAAAGATTTGGGAGGCCTCTGCAAAAGGAGAGGCTTTCTGGCCAAACATGTTTGGGGAAATTGCATATTCTATATACAGCACATAGCACATTAAAGACCCCAAAGGTCCTTTGGCAAGCGCTCCTGCTTTTCTGTTTAACTTGGTGTTTTCTACATGTTTGGCTGTGGAGCCCTTTTTCACACACAATCTATTAACATCCCTCTGAACTGGTGGTCTGTGGAGTATGCTTTGTGAAATCCTGCTGCCTGCGGTTGGCCCCAAAAACTATTGTATGGGTTACAATGATGTGGTTATGTTTGCTTCCATGTAGGCTTCACTGCTGCCAAAGCCTAGCCCCCAACCTATAACCGCCCCACCACTCTACAGTGATAATCTACCCTAGGAGGAACTCAATCACCAGACTCACTGAAAGGAGTCAAACCACGGTGGAAGCAACTTGCTTTCCTTCCAATTCCTGTCTTCAGGGTAACATGATAAAAGTACTATCAGAGACCAGAGAACAGCTTGTATTTATTTCTTGATACATATGTGGCACACATGGAAGATGCCGCTAATAACACACATTTACTCCATTTGTCTTGGGCTTCTAACTTACATTCTATAGACACCACATTAACTTCTCTGTGAAACATTCACAGTGACATGAATTCATCATGGACTCTCCTCATCACTCAGATACAAACAGGCATCTTCCGATTGATTTCACAGCCCCAGAGATTAAGGTCAATGAGGTATTGGAAAATACAACGTGCTAATAGCTCACTTCACCACTGTCTTTCCTGAAAAAATGTGAATAAAATAAACAGACATTTCCTTTTGAATCCAATCCCAGTGATATGAGCATAATAAGAGGATACACGAAACACAATTCTAAAATGCACAGGGATGGACTCCAATTGATTTGTAAATCTGAAAAATGATGCTCAGGTTCAGACCAAAATTTTTAAATTCACATCAAAAAAATCTGTGTGATTTAAACTAGAAACTGCAGTGGTAATTCTAAAAGAATGCCAAAGACAGAAAACAGTACTTTCAAATTAGGAAAATACCTATCAATTTCCTGTGGCCCACTGATTACTATAAAGTATGATGAAACACAATAAATATTTCATGGTTTCTTGAATTAACTCACTCAACACAGCAGGAGATGATGATGAATCTGTGGTAGGCCAGACAAAAAGAACACTGAATGTTCTTACATGTTTTGAAGAACTGAATTATCAAGTGTGGGTGGCTCTAGTCTTAGTTGTATCTATTGATTCTTTACTACTATTTCCCAAATATACAGCGAGAACAACTGATTCTAAATTTCATCTTTATATTCATATTACTCTTGTAGATATTATTCTTTCTAGAAGTAAATAAAAGAATTCCCTGTTGATAACGCAACTGAAAGGAACTTTTAGAGAAAAAGATCTAAACACAGAATAAAGCTATATAAAGACAGGTCAGAGAAGAAAATGATGAAGGAAGGGAAAAAGCATTTAAAAAAGATCAATGAAAAGCCAGGTGTGGTGGCACAGGTCTGTAATCCCAGCATTTGAGAGGCTGAGGCAGGAGGATTGCCATGAGTTTGAGGACATCCTGGACTACAGAATGAGACCCTGTCTCAAAATAAAATTAAATTTTAAAAATTCAATGGATATTATCATTTCTGGAATTCTGAGCATTAAAAATGGACTGCCAACACACTTATAATCTCACCACTCTGGGAGTCTAAGGCCAAAGGATTGCAAGTGCGAGCCCAGCCTAGGGTACTAGTGATTTACAAAGATTCTGAGTCAAAAAATAAATAAATAAATAAAACAAACTGCAAATGTAACTCAATGCAAAGGCCCTGGGTCCACTTCCCAGTATAGAAAAACAAAAGAAATTGTATTAGCCACATACTATTGAGTGAAAGAAGCCAGACATAAAAGAACAAATACTTGATTTGAGATGTCACAAAAGACAGAACTGATCCAAGACCATAAATATTCTACTTGTTAATGACTTTGGGATAAAACTGAGGGAATAATCATGATAGTGACGTTAATAACGAAAGAGGAAAATCATTTTAACTACAAAGTAGATATTTAAAATTAGCAAATTTGCTATAAACAATGAAATTTGGAGTTCACTTTTAAAGCATATTACTAAAGTAAGATAACCAAGAGTTAAACATAGATAGTGAAAGTTTCATACAGTGCCTAGTGTTACCCTAAGGGCTACTGTTTAGATCCTGCATTGCTTCATATCTTTGAGCCTTGCTACTCAGTTTCATTGTCAGTTTAAGAACAAGAAAGAAAGAGAAAGTGAGAGAACAAATGAACTACTTAATTCACAAGGTTGTGTCCAAAGCATCCAAAACAAGGACTCCCCTAAATAAGCCTGCAGTTAAAGTAGGCAAAATATGCAAGTACCATATATGTAAGGTTTTGTTTTTTTTTTTTTTTAAAAATGCATATCGGTAATAATGGGCAAAGAGTAAATTTACTGACATTTACAAAGGGAAAGTTATCGTTAGTCTTATGGAAATAGCAATGCAAGAATAAAAAGCCCCATGGGTCAAGAGCTAACAGGAGTTTTAATGCTTGCACGGCTTGGAGTATAACTCGATCACAGGTGTGTGCCTGGCCTGTGTAAGTCCCTGAGTTCAATCTCCAGCACAAAAAACAACATGAGACAGTACAACTGTAATTCTTGTTCGCTGAAGAAGCAATCAACATCAATGATCTGAACAAAATTATCCTTCAGATAAGAATAATTTTATGAAATAGTCTAACAAAAATTAAGATTTCTAGCATGCTTTAAAAGTTAAATGAACACCTAAAAATTTCAAACAAGAACAGGTAACTATGAAAAATGAATGAATACTTAAAAATCTGAAATAAAAGTGGGTAGTTAAACCTTAAAGTTAAAAAGAATAGAGAGGAAACCCTCTGAGGGCAACAGTAAAGCAGGAATTATAAAAATGGAATTGAGATCTACACTTAAAGTACAGCAAAAACAACCGGCAAATAAAAGCCCAAAGAGATTTTTAGAGACACGAAAAACAGGCTATGAATTTGTCTAATAACATATTCCACAGAAAAGCATGGTGGAGGGTATTTGGTGAACATTTTCCAAGGTTGAGGAAAGACATGATTTGTGGATTTCTACCACCTTCCTCTGAGTAAAATAAAGGTAAGTCCTAATGCAGAAATAGCACAATAAAACTATAGAACACAAAGAATTAGGAGAAGCTTTCAAAAGACAGAGATTACCTACAGAGAAAGAGGCAGCAAACAGAAGTAAGAAGGCACTGTACAGTACAGTCCAAGTGCTTTTGGAAAACCAGTGTTAACCCAGAAATGTGCAGGACTAGTCTAGTTATAGTAAGAATGAAAATAAAGCTGCTGCCAGACATATAAAATGTGTGCTCCCCAGGAACCCTCATTTCAAAAAAGCACTGTTGAGAGATACAATCTCAAAACAAAACTTTACCAAGTGAAAATACAGAATGCCTAGTTAAACTTGAATTTCTGATAAACAAATACTTTTTAATGTATTTCCCAAACAATTTGCTGTTTATCTGAAACTGAGATTCAACTGAACAGTCTCTGCTTTATCTGGAAACCCTCTTCAAAAAAAGACAGGAATGCAGAAAGCAAGCAGATAAAAGAAACAAGGCTGACTGCCAAAATCTGTAAACAATGCATACGTACACTGAACTACCAACTGTATGGGGAACAAGGCCTTCTGTATTTCCATTAACTAGAAGCCTGAAAATTATTACAAAACGATGACTCTAGGCTAAGTCAGAAATCCATTTTCTTTCAAATATGCAGGAAGCTGTCATAATGGTCTTTGGACTGTTCCACTGACAAAGCCTCTTTCCCTGACCAAACTCCGAGCAGGCTGTTTATTCTGTTCTCAACTTTGGGTCCTGCCTTCGGGTTTCTGTGTTTATTTCTGCATTGCCCAATTCCAGCAAGAATCCTGCTGAGTCGATTTAGCCAGAACTCTCCACTCTCCACTCTCACTGTCCACCATCTCCCAGGTGATGCCCGGCCACCTCATCTGTCTTCAACAATAACACTTGGAGGCCCCCCTGGCCTCTCTTATCCCTTACGCCACCTCTTATTCTATCCCGTGACACCCAAATCCTTACCTGTTGACTATACATTTTCATTACAGCTGTGTTCCATCTACTTATTGCAAGAGTCTCTTGAATGCAGTTTACCTTACTGTTCTTTTTGTGATTTTTACTTTTTAATTGATACTGAAGTATATATATTTCTAGGGAACAATGAGATGTTTAAAAAATATGGGACACTTCACAAGTTTGCATGTCATCCTTACCCAGAGCCATGCTACTTTTTCTGCATCGTTCCAACCTCAGTATGTGTGCTGGTGCTGTGAGCACTGCCTTACTAGTCCGGAACAAACATGCGTTGTTTTTTTTTTTTTAACACGGTGTTAAAATGATCATAAATTTTTTAATTTTTCTCTCGGCACGTATCACAGAATCCATAATTAATTATAAACAATTCATGCAATTGTGCATTTAATTAGAAGAGTGTCTTCAAATTTTCAACCGCCCCATCCTGTCTGTTCTAACCCAGGGCTATGCTATAGGCCACATTCTTTTCTCCAGCTGCAGCAACTCTGAGGATCTACACTTTCTATCCTTCATTCACCCAGTTTTCTCAAAGCACCCAAAGGTCAGCCCTCCTCCACCTGCTCACCATATTGCAGTCCACATTCATTAGTTTTTTGGTGACTGAAGTGCAAGCAATAGTGTACACAAGCTCCATATAACCAAAAGCTCTTGTGTACTGTTACTTGTGCGGACAACTGATCAAGACTGATAGATCTCATTGAGTAACAGAGAGATGCACAGGCTTTTTTTTTTTTTTTTTTTTTTTTCTTTGCCCAAATAAAAGTTTGATTTCAGATGTACTTTGCGGGGTTTTCTGGCTCAAAGAGCCTTCCAGTCAAAGTCTTGGCAGTAAATAATACCGTGCCGTAACACGTCAGTTTTCTTCATTTATTTCATTATGGCAAAAACAACCAGTATTATAAAGAAGTCCAAAAAAGCTATGTGGACAGCTCTTTCATATTCCTTTAAAAATGCTCATTTGGCCTCAGCTAAAATTCAGTTACAATTGGGAAAGTGAACAAAGCAAATGGCATCCTGCTGATTCTGTTTTAATTACACTAAATTATAAGGGCGTGCACAATGTCTTACTCATTACTCATCATATTATTTTTATAGCTTTGAAGTACCATGTCAATTAATATTTACAGTGTGTTGAATCACTAAAATGTTAAGATTACCCATGAAAAACTAACATACAGTGATACACAGAGTCAATGATAAAAGTGCAGACATCCTCTTAGTTTGGCATTGCCTGCAGCACCTGAGCACATACTAAAAATATAGGAAATAATAGTGAGTTGAGTGTACAGCTGTAAAGATATAAAACAGGTAAGTTATTTTAGTATGTCAAGGGCTATTTGTCTTTAATAAGAATTTTCATTAAACAGACTAGTCTGCATTTCCTTTTAGAACCAAGTTGTATTTTTGAAACTTGGATTTACAACTAACATTTTGAGAATGCATTTGTATTGTGGCAGTTTATAGACAAAGCAGGGACTGAGCTTCCGAGTAAGCCAAAGGGAATGGGAGTTCTTACTGTCATCTCCCAAGGTGCATTTCATTTACTTCAAGTTCTCCATGAAACTCTTAGCATAATAATCAAATGACAAATGATGAATGTCACTCTAGCTTCACCAGGAAATGTCACTGCATTGTTTGTTATGATAAATGAAACAAGTTATAACAATCCTATAATGTTGAGATTAAGGAGGCAGGGTTTAGAGCTCCATGTGAGTATATGTAATAAATCACTCCTTTCAAAAGATAATTGCTGCTCCACTAGAGAAGAGAAAGAAACCCAACTTTCAGGGTAGTTATTTGAAAGCTCCTCAAATTAACTTGTGCACAGTTGGTTCTTTGTTACTGAGAGCACATTAGTAAAAGTTGCTTCAGGATATTGGTTCATTTTACTGAAGGAATAATGTAGTTCTAGTTATAATCACTTTCATTTTAAATGTGCTTCGTAAACTGAGAAGATGCTAGGCTGTAAGAACAATGTGGAATGCACAAGTAATTAGATGCTTAATGGGTCTCTTTTGAAAATTTCTATTAAGGATAACAAAATCAAAAAGCTTCAGGGCTTTTGGAAACTAAGGGTACATAAGTAATGTGAGAATGTTCTATTTCATTTTACCAACCAATAATATTACAAAGGAGTGAAATTAAGCCCTGCTCTCCATAGCAATTTTAATAGGTTATGTTGAATGAAATCATATTATGAGTCAAAACTTCTGAACAGTGTAATTTAGCGATGCTTTCTTGAGGCACCATGAAACAGAATTTTCTATGATATTTCACTCTAGAGTTCTTGCCAAAAAAAGTATAACGCTGCTTTGTAGATGTCCTCTTGAGACCAGCATGTGCCAGGATTCGGTGTTGCTGACCGACCGACCATCAGTGGAATGACCAAGGGGTAACCATGTGATTGCTCAGCATGAACAAAACTTGCTGAAGGTCATTTGGCCACACCAACAGAGGAAAACACAAAAACCCCACGCATTTCCTGAAGACTTCTCCATTCTTTTTTGCTAAGTGAAATGAGAAGTCATTACTTACATATTTTAATTTCTACTTCTAAGTGGACATGTTTATACATATGACCAAGGTTATTATGAACCTTGAACCAGCCATAAGTAGTATTTTTTAAGTTAAAATCAGTAAGAATTACTTGAATTTACACTGGCTCTCACATCAGATGGCACATCTTCCATTCTAATCATCTAGTATCTTCATCAGCAATACTTTAAAATACACACATATATACAAATACAGATATACAGATTATATATATGCATACTACATATATATGCACATATACATATACATGCACACATATGTATTTGGTAAAAGCTGCCATGCTGTAGATAAAACATACTGGTCAGAGTAAAATCCTGTTTGCGATTTTTTTTTGGTAGTGTGAGATACCGGAGATTGAACTCATGAGCTCATGTTTGCCAGGCAGGTGCTTGTGCCACTGAACTAAACCCCCAAGCCCCATTTAGGCTTATTACCTGTATGACTGTGGGACAGTCATGTACTCTGCGTTTCAGTTTCTAGTTGGAATTAATGCCCATATCTGTAGGATCACTCTGAAGATTAAAGGAAGTACATACGCATACGGACAAAATAAAATAGAAAATAAGCAATAAAGACAGTTTCCTATAATCAGATGGTCAATACTTTAATTCTGGCCGTCTACCTGTATTTGAATCCTACATCTTTCAGTACTCCTGACTATAGTACATGCTATGTAACTTCTCTAGGCTTCAGTCTGTCCAGCTGCAAAATGGTGACAGTAATACATACTTAAAAAAGGATTAATGGAGATAACTGATACAAAGTGTTTATAAGGTGAAGTATCTGGTATATAATAAACTTAGCTATTAAATTCTAGCTAATTTAACATGAAGATAAAGAAGTTCCCTTATCTACGACTACAAATTGATGGACTTTTAGCTTAGAAACTTAGTTGATCATGAATTACTAAAAAATCTTGGTTATATTTGTAGGTCATTGATACTTGACCAATTAAAATTATAGTAAGTTTCTCATCAATGAGACATGAACTATTTCTTAATTCGCATGAAGTATTTTAATTTTAATCTATTATGAGATCTGGGCTCTGAGTTCACAAATGTAAGGCTAGATCCTTGACCTTTGAGACGTCATAGTCTTTCAAGAAATGAGAGATGTAAATAAAGGCTAGTATACAATATAAACCAACAATCTCAGTACAAAGAAGAGATCCCAACACTGTCTGTAAGACTCTCCCAGCGGCATCCACAGGTTATGGCATGGATATGCCCTGTCCCGAGATCAAGATGAGGACCTGTTTGGTAGTAAGGTTTCTTTATTTTTGTGAAGTGGTATTATGCTAACTCTAAGCAATCTGTCAAAAGTTAAAGATGTTGTACTATAATTCTGAGAAAAACTCCTTTAAAATAATGCAAAAAATGTTAAGTTAAAAAAGCTAGATAAAATGGAATTCTAAAAAAATTGTTCAAGTAATTCAAAAGAAAGCACAAAGAAGAAAGAGAAGAACAAAAAATTTCAGGGAGACAAAATCCAATCATATCAATGATTATATTAGATTTTTAATGTAATAAACACTCTTAGAGGCTTAAACATCAGAACATAAAAGGGGGGAAGCAAACCTCAAGTATATGTTGTCTACAAGAGATATATTGTAAATGTTAACCCAGAGATTCAAGTTTTCCAGATATAAAAGGAAAAAAGTTAGACTATATTTTCTTACAACCAGCAAGAAAAATTTCACAAATATTCAGATATTTTGCAATATTTTTCTAAATAACTCATGTCAGAAAAGAAATCCAAATTTTGAGATAATTGAACTTCAAGATGATTTTTAAAATGACACAAAATTGAAGTATATAAAGTCAGAACCTAGACTGACCAAATTTAAAATTTTTAACTTATATAATAGAAAATGAGAAAGGCTGATACCAACAATCCAAGATACACACCAGAAGAAATCAAGAAACAGCAGTGGACTGAACAGAGAAGAGATTAAAAAAAAAAAAGAACAGAAAGTAGAGAAACAGCTAACAAATATTTTCAGCAAAGACAAAAGAGCATTTTAAAAAACTGTTAAAAGTGATTACTAGGAAGCATGAGGGGAAGACAGACAGACAGGCAAAACAGGAGGTCAGAGGCACAAAAACATCAGTATCATAAGTAAAGGGGAGAAGGGTCACTTATATAGCACAGATGACTATACTACTAATTCTCTGTTACCCAAAAGGAGTTTGTGCTGTCATTGTGTGATCATTTTTTTATGCTTAGATCTTGTAACCTGAACAGCTACTTCTAAGATAACAATATGCAATATGTTAACTAATGTTGATTTCTGCTTTTTGAAATTCTGTATTATTTCTATCCTTTTTTCTGTTTTGCCTTTTAAAAATCAAAACAATTAAAGACAGAAAAAGCACATTCACCACAAACTTCATATGACTGAAACTGAAATTCTTAGATGAAATGAGCATTTTCTAAAGCAAAAACAATGTTATCAACACTGACACCGACAGGTAATGAAAAACATGAATAATACTATAGCTATTACAGAAATTATTTGCATAATTAAAACACTTTACACAAAGGAAACTTCAAGACCAAATGCCTCCTTCAGTGAATTATTCCAAATACATAAGGGATAGACAACACTATAAAACACTTTAACAAACAGCAGGACTTTTAAAAAAATTTTTTTTTAATCTTTATTTTTCTGAGATAAGTTTGGTCTAGAAATATAGCTCACCAGCACAGAGCTTGCCTACCATTCACAAGGCCCTGGGCCTAAGCCTAGGATTAAAAGAAAAAAAGAAAAGAAAATTGGGTCTCATTATGCTGGCCAGGCTGACCTCACACTCATATAGCTCAGGCTAGGTTCAAACCTACCATCCTCCTACCTGACCTGCAGTGTGCTGGGATTACAGCTCATAACATGACCAATTTAAGAAAGAACAGACTTTGTGTCTTTCTGTAGAGGGCAACAAATGAGAAACAAACACATAGAAACACAGCCTAGCAAAACAACATATGGACATCCTCTACCACCTGGCAGTGAGAGAATTTCGGAGCACCTGACACCCTGGAGAACGCACTCAGGACCACACAGGAGCACAACAGTGAAGGGAAAGGACCCCCTAGAGTCCTCCAGTCTAATGGTACAAAGCGAGACAGTGAGGCACAGGAGCCACCTCCGCAAGCAAGCACTCAGGAGCGAAAACTTGTGCACCAGCTGTCCTTTCTTAGGCGCAGCCTCTGGCACAAAATATAAAAACAGCAAGGCAGAATCGGAATGCGCCACGGGATCTTCTAGCCTCTATCCTGCACAGGCTTCACTGGCACCAGACAGCTTCACTGGCCAAGAGCTGCGGAGCATCTGTTAGATCATCTCTGTGGGCAGGAAACTCAGTACTTTTCATTATGGAGTTGGGGAACTCGATTCCACAAAAGACGCTCTCTTGTAGATCTTGTAAATGTGCCTCCACATAACTCCATCTTATTGACTTTGGCTTCTGAAAAAACTCATAAAAGGTCTTGTTCTGCAGGACATCTAATGCATGTAGAAGCATGCATACAGAGTTGTGGTTATGCGGCAGCCACCGTGCTGCTTTTCAGTCTGCACCTCTCCAGGCTAACGCACGTGTTTGCAGGTCTCTCACAAGCTTTACTGACCTTATTAATCAAAAAATAATGAACACGGAACACCCAAACCCCAAACGCCACCTGAGGAACACAGAAAATAAGGCTGCGAGTTCCACTACCCTTTCATTAGGTCTCCACTAACATGTCTTAGAAATGTGCTGGAGGAGCGGGGGAGAGATATAGCTCAGCAGCACTGTGTCTGCCTAGCAAGGCTGAGGTCCTGAGTTCAATTCCCAGTACCAAACCAAACCAAGCCAAACAAACATGCTCAGGTTCCTTATCCAGGTTTTTATCTAAATCTATTAAACAGTAACCTGGATTTATCCATTCAGGCCATCTAGTCATTAATATAACCTCTGTTTTACGTCATTCAATGATTTCTTAAAGTCAAGTGATTCTAAGTAATGTAGTTATCACTCCCTTGTTACTAAAGCCTGCAAATGTTTCTCAGAAAGCATTATGGAGTGCCCTCTCCCTCAGCTAATGAGTTAATGCTCCCTTTTCTGTCACATACGATGAACGATTGTCACATTTATAAATAAATGGCCCGATTTACTTGCGTGCATTTCTTTAAGTCAGCAGAGAGTCTCTATGGAGTCACACAGATGGACTACTGGATCAACAATCTGCTCAAGAAAATTCTACAGTAACTAAGATATTCCTTTGATACAGACTATTTTATATTTAAATTTTTATTTTTTATTACATGTTCACAGGTCATAATGATTACATCCCCTGTGGAGAGTGGGCACATGTGCCTGAAACATCTGAATTCTTTTTCCCATCACCACCGCTCCTCTCCTCTGACCCTCTCCCCTCTATTTCTTGGTCCTCTTCCCTTTTGTAAAAGAGGTATTCCTTTTCCTTATTATTTTTATATATTTATTTATATGAGAGAAACCAAGGGATATTTAAGCTTATGTGTTTGGTTTATTTCACTCAACATTTCAGTCCTAAAATATATCCAATGTCCTACCAAAAACTCAAGTTTATTCTTCTTTCTGGAAGCTAGTACTCCACTATATATAAATATCATATTTTTTAATCCATTCATCTGCTGAGGGACATACAGATTGCTTTAAAGATTTAGCTATGATGCATTGTGCTGCTATAAAAACGGATATGCATGCATCACTGTAATATGATGTCTTTAACTCATTCAAGAAGCTATCTAGAAAAGGAATAGCTGGATCTAATGAAATTTCTATCTTTAAGCTTTTGAGAAATCTCCATACTGATTGTCATAATAGTTATACTAATGAAACAGGCCATTTTAGTAGCAGGTTAAACTACACTATGACAATTTTCTCTACTCCCATCAACACAAACTGGACAAGGAGGATACAGGGCCCCAGGCCACAAGTCAGAAGACACGCGCTATGTTCCTGCACTTACACCCAAGTTATTAACAATGTCTTTACCTGACACATGTCAAGAAAAATTAGGAACATTAATTAATTGGATATATCTCAAAGTCACTGAAACCAAAACTGATATTATGGGTACTAACCTAGGCACTGGTAAATCTGAGTTACACTCAGTTCTATGCAACCACAGGGAAGTGATTTAACCTCTCTGGACTTTAATTTCATTTATAAAGTATAAACACAAGGTGAGATGAATTCTCAGGGGTCCCTTTTTTTACAGTTCCACTGTAGTATTCAAAATATATATGCTGAAGTATTTGAGACATTTCATATTTAATTTTATAGCTTTTCTTTCACCTGGGAAAAGGGTATTCACCCTGATATACAGTATCTACATACTTCAAAGTGACCAGAAATACTCTGATGAAAGAGAAGAGGGAACTCTGTTGGCCTACCATGTGTCAGGAAAGCAGCGTACTACTAGGTACATGCATGTACCAATACCTGTGCACCAATACAAAGTGACGGCACTTCCCCTAACACTTGCAGATTTTATCACAGAGTAATGGAAGATTAAAGGGTTTCATTATTAAGTTTCAACAGTAGTGAGGCAATCCAGCAACCATGCACTTAACAGCCATGCTCCCTTAGCTAAATGGACTGAGGCGGAGGTAGTTCACTGTGTGGCCCTCACATGCTGGGCTCAGGAGCAGCACATGGCAAAACAACCCAAACTTATAGAGAGAAAACCACAGCTGAGTCCTTCCCACCGGGGTCGATTAACCTTACCTTGACAAAAGGTGTTGTTAACCCGCTTATAACCTTGCAGGCATTCCATCATTTGATTATATCCATGATAAGCTAAAAGGAAAGAAGCAATTCTTTGTTACATGTTTAGTTTAAATTCTTGCAGTTCTACAGTACCCAAGGACATTTAAGGTACCAGTGAACTTACTCATTTCTAAGACACCAATAGCAATGTAAAATTCCACAATTTCTTTCACACAGTGCTTGTTTTTTTCAGTACACTTCCTGTTTAGCAATGGACAGCATCCTAGTAAGTTGCCAGCAAATCATTATTATGTTAAGTGAATCATAAGCCCGTTTATATTTTCTGCCACGTAGTGGCTAAATATTTCTATCACCCAGGATTCTATTGCTCCCAGATCTGCTTCAGGGAATGATGCATTCATTAATTAAGAGGGCAGATTCAGCCTGTGGGCGCCACCCAACCCAGCCCTCTGGGCTCCTGCTGTCCTGCCACACAGAATGAAGGTCCTGAAACAGGTTGTCTATAGAGACTGTGGGATTTCTTGTCTGTGAATTCTCCCAAAATAAAAGAGATAATAGTGCATTTTAGGAGTTTTAGCAGTTGTCTACTTCAAGGCAAAGAGCCAAATCAGATGATCTCTGGGAAGTCCCCCTAGCTTAGGATTCCATGTTAATTCTCTTCTAAAACTGTTTAAAGGACAAATGATTTGTTCACACTAAGCACATTTCTAAAAGATTACAGATGTATTAATGAAATCATTTGCACATTTAAAATTAAATTTTCACAGCAACAAATGATCAACAGTGAAAGGTCTTTCTGTATATGGCCCAACAAAAATTTCAAATATTAAATAAAAGCCACTTCAAACTGAAGTTTGAATTACTATGAGAAATAAAGTAAAATGAAATAAAAAGGCACAGAAAACAAAAACCATAGCATATAAAGCTAAGGAAGGTCTACTCGCTTCCAAAATGAGTATGTTCTACAAAGTAGGGAAGAAAAGATTGCATTGTTTTGTCTTGTTTTTTAAATGACACAGGCTATGAGCACAAGTGCGTTTCTTGGGGTTGAGTCACTTAAGATGGCACAGGCAAAATAAATGTCCAGAAATTAAGTTTGTTCATAATCCACACTGCCCTCCCTGAAAGTTATTCTCTTCAATTTTATACATTACATGAGCCAATATATGAATTTTCGTCCATCAACACTTAGTTAAAAGTAACAGCAATTCTGTACTTTCACATTCAACCAAAATCATTATCAAGATTAAAATATACTGTTAATAAAATCACATAATGCAGTGAATTCACCTTCAGATGATGCAATTCTAGATAAAAATGACAAAAGGTCAGGAATAGAAGGTAAGGATTAAAATGGGGAAAAAAGGATGATTTAAATTCCTTTACCCTTAAGAACTGTCAGTTTCTACTACTCTGGGTTTCAAAAGAGTAAAGATAAGCAGATAAACAAAAGATAAATAACAAAGGGAACAAATAAAAAGTAAGACAGAAGATGAAGAAAGAATTAGGAAATGTTCACTTAATCCTCAGAGCTAGAAAAATCTAACTTCTCTCATCCTGTGTTTAAACCTCACACTGGGAAATATCACACTCCATAGTATTCTGACACATAAACACACAAGTTAGTGAACAGGAAGGAGTCAATGATTAAAGACAATGATTTTTCAGTATCTTACATAGAGATTTCTGTTTAATGCCTCATAAGACTCAACAGTAAATGACAGAGCTGGAAGTTAATTCAGACGACCCTAAATCTAAACCCTACACTCTTTAAATCGCTCCAAATGGACCCTAGATATACGTTTCAAAAAGCCATCACCAGTCAGCTACCTACTGGGAAATCTATGATGCTAATCAATATCCAGTTGGCTTAGAAAGACTACTTGAGATATTCTTTCATTACTGAATATCTTTATGTGAATTTTTCCTAAGTAAAGAGTTCATTAATTTTCTGAAACTGCAGTGGTTATTTTAACAAACTACTCTTCTAAGAGAAATCAATTTTTTTCCTAAAAGAAATCAAAAGTGATATTGATAAATGAATAGAGAAATAGAAGTTTCTCTATTTTCCTTAGGAATATAGAAACTATAAATTAAATATGGAAGTCCAGATGAGAGACAACTATTTAAAATTGATTATTATGATAGAAGAACCAACCAATATTCAAGCAAGAGATATAAAGTGGTTATTCTAAGATACAGATTTCAGACTGAACAGAGGTTTAAAAGGCAGTTGAGAATATCAAATCAATTTAAGAAGACAAAAATTATTCTATTGAGGCAACTGAAAAATTTGTTAGCATAAAGAATAAAGAGCAATTATAAAAATCTTATCAATATTAAAAGGAGATGACTAAGAAAAAATATCACTTGCCCTTTTGGTATAAATACAATAAGTGTAAGAAAGTACAATTTAAAACTGACTTTCTAAGAGGTATTCCTTAGAAATCAGTTATCCAAAGTCAACACTACATTCAAAAACTAAAAATACAAACGACTATTGGGAAGAAATTAGTAAAAAAATATAAACCTGGATTTACTCAAATCAACTTTGTCCGTGCAACACTTTAAACACAGTCATGGCAGAGGTGCTAGCACTGATTGACATTACTGAAAACTGACAATGTAAAAGCAGTGCTAAGAAAAAAGGGGGAGAGCACTGTGTCCCAGAAATTAGGAAGTTCTTTTTTAACAAATCAGGAACCAATCATTACCCATTCTAGCCTTTCTATGAAATTTAAAATCCTATATAATCCTAATCCTATAATATTCAATAAACTGTGGATATTAACAAAACTTTCATATAAGGGACTTAACCTAAGAAGCAGTTTCTGCATTGACTTCTCAGACTTTACAACACTTGTTTACCATTTAGAGTATTGTACTTTTTCATCTGAGAGGAAGGAGCCTATTTTAGCTTATCACCTCTAACTAGTAATTTAACTGGAGAAGGCAACTGATAAGCATGCTGATTTAAAAACAAAACAAAAGCGAACTGATACAAAAACTTTATCAGACTGGAAGGTCTCTGAAAAGGCACATTATAGCACTGTGTTCTAAAATACAATTAAGGGAGTGCTTTGAAAGTTTAATGCTGCCTCCTCACTGAAAGAGTAACCATCAAGAAAACAGACATGCCCCAATTGCCTGCGAGGAATGAGGAAGGGTGACTTACCTGGCTTCTTGGGGCATTTCTGGCACTTGTTAAAGCCCCAGGAGGTGCCCACAGTCCCGCAGCAGTCCTCTTTCTTTGAAAGGCCAGGGAGCGCTTTGCCACACTGCAGTGAGGAGGTGTGGAACAGGAAGGTTAATTGAGTGCAGGACCCTCTGCGGGAGAGCACTGCTGTATCTTACAGTCACATTATAAAACCATTCCCTCCTTATCCACACACCGACAAAGAAAAAAACATGATTATAAAACTCTGAAGCAAAATAGCAGGGCAGGATCAATACAACACTGATATGAAAAGCAAAATCCCAAGTAAGCGCACTTCAGCATTTATAAAGTCTTATGAAAATTGGTCACTGCTCAGACCAGTTTATAAAAACTGCAGCCTCCGACACCCTCCCACACAACAATCTCATAATTTAAAAGATCAATACATGCTCTTTTTCAGGGCTGGGGTCTGAACCCAGGACCTTACCCCTATGCCAGGCAAGTGCCCCACCCCTGAGCTGTATCCCCAGGCCTCAATACACACTTTAAATTTAGGCTCTAGCTGTCTGTTTAAATCTCTCTTGTAGATCTTCAAGGAACAGAGCTGTAAGGGTGTGGGATGTACAAAACTGGAAAATGGCACAGGTCCCACCTAAGAGAGGCTTCTGGTCTCATAACCCCCAGGCCTGAGTAGAGACGGGACAGGAGAGGACAATATTAGAAATGGTCATCAGCTGAACCAGCCAGCTCTGGCCAAGTCCAAGGTTGCAGAGAGCCAAGCACAAGTCTGAGCAGGGAGGTCAGCCAAGCTAGAAAGGTGCTGGCAGGTTCAAGCAAGACCAGCCTGAGCTGGCAGAGGACTGAGGCTTAGAACTATTGCAACAACTCTCCTGTCAGATGCTATCAAGCCCAGGAAAGATTTCCAGTCAGCCAGAAGAGGTCAGACGAGGCTGAGAAGGAGGAGCCTCAAGTAACACCAAATTAGTGGAGTAGGGAAGGGCCTAGGCAACCCACGCTGCTCTGGGAACCCATCTGAAGGCCAGTGCGCCAGGGAGCATACCTGAGTCTCCATCCCTAGCAGGCAGGCTGAGCCCACAGCACACATCTTCATGCTGTACACAAATGCAACTAAGGGTCTTTCTGTCTTGATTCACCTCTACAAAATCCTCCAAAGAGTTTTCAGTCATCTTTTCAAAGACAAATCTGACAACATCAATCAACTAAACAAACACCTCCAGTGACTCTTCCTTATCTGAACACTACACACTCCACCACCACGATCCAGGGGTCCCTCTGTGCCTCGGCGGATCTCTTGTCCTCCTCCTTCTTCTCTCTATCTATACCAAAGAAGTGCTCAGAGTCAGAAAAAGCTGGGACTTTATCTCCTTTACAACATCCTCCCCCTTTTTTCCTTCCAGGACAAACTTTATCACAGGAGTCCCAGATCTAAGAGCACCTCAGCTCGTTAATTCCCAGGATTATTATCTCCTCTCTACTTCACGGTTCTTTCTATAAGGTCACTACCTCTGCAATGCCTTTTAGTTACATGCATCTGTAACTTACCTATCTTATTCCCTAATAAACAAGACACTTTGCAAATGCTCAATAAATAAAAGAATGAATGGATGAGTGATACGACTTAAGGACTAAATTAACTGTAGTCTATTCATGAGAGCAACTGCTACGTGAAAGGCCAGTGGAAGTCAGCACTCGGGCCCCAGGCTAGAGAACAGTACACAGTGACACAATTCAGGCAGGTGTAACCCTGAAGAAGGCAGGCAGATAGTCAGCAGGACTCATAGCTGGCCTCAGCATCAGGCCCCACCCTAACCCTAACACTAACCCTAACCCTAACCCTAACCATAACCCTAACCTTCCAGGAACACATCTTCCTGCCAGGCTCAGGACTACAGTAATCTGACTGCAATTTCAAGCAACTACACACCCAAATCATAAAACAAACATCACACCAAGCTCAGTTAATAGAACCCTACTTACATTATAGCTTTGATGTCTTTAGCTTTTCATGATTTTTAATGATCTCTGCAAGATGCTATGTGTGCTCCAAAAGGCATATATAATAGTGGATAAAAAATGACTCATGAAATACAGAGGGATAGGTACAAATTTCAACTATGTGGGACTTCATACGTGCAGTACCTGAAGAGTTTCTTATTCATAACACAATGTGTAATAGGATCTTTCTTAGGGAACCTTAAAAATTGAAAGGGACAGGCATGTACAATACTGAACATTATGCCTGACATACGTAAATGCTAAGCTATCATCACTGTTATTATTCTTGTTAGAGGTATTCCAGATTCTCTGTGTAAGTTCTGTGCTGTCTGCCAGATCCTTTGGGAGAGCAGTCCAATGAGTTGAATGAGTTGTGGGTGCTCTATCTGTCAAAGAGAATCATCTATCTGCCTGCTAGAAAGTACCACATTGATGGGAAATGGCTCTATAGGACAAATGAATTTCCCTGAAGTAACAGTCAGTGTTAAGGACATCTTGACAGGAAGTTAGTAAGACCGAAGCCTGGGCACATGTGCAGTTTGGTGGCATGCTTTCATTGAAGGAAACCAGGAGTTTCTCCTGCAAAACCACAGGTAGATAAACACTCGCCCAGGGAGAGCTGCACGCAAACACTAACTCACTGCCACAGGGAAGTCTGTCTGCAGACAGCTCCTAGTCTGGTGTGGGCACTTGCCTCTATGAGAGCTCCCGCACCAGTAGCACCGAGGAACAGGCTTGGGCTTGGCAGGAAGTCAGGACAGAACAATGTGCTGAAGAGGCAGACAGGACATCAGAGGGAGAAACACACAGAGCATACAAGGCAAAAAAGGGAGAGGATGGGGGAGAATCAACATGAAAACAAATATCCTGACTCCAGGTAGTTCCAGACACTTGAAGCTTCATCACAGAAGACCTACACTTGTAAACTCAAAGGAGAAAGGAGGAAGGAGGATCAGCTTATAAGACCAGGAACAAAATAAAAACACAGAGATTCCCACTATTGCAATCCTGCTGCCAAAGTGTGCTTTATATTTATTCCAATTTTATAAATCAGTCAGGTTTATGTGAGACATCAGTCCACATCACATGCGGATCTTTCTTGCACCAAACTCTTTAGATTCTTCCCTTAAGCAAAACACTCAACACTTGCTGATTTTATATGCTTAAAATGTTAGTAGCAGTTAAAATCCAATTTTCACCTTGGATTCCTAGAATGTTTTATTTGGTAAGGCAAAAATAAATCATTTCTCTTTACCAAGCTTCCACAAGGTACAAAGTTTTCATTACATGATTCAGGCTGCTTTATGCCATGGCTTTGTTTTTGCGGGTCCAGAGCCAAGAGCAGCACAGGCCAACCGAACTGGTGGAATAAATGGCAGTGTAGGTGGTACCATGACAGTGTGTGTTCATCTCAAGCCTGGGGCTGCACAGCCTAAGAATGAGCTACGAAGGATGCAGTCATGGTTACGATAAAGGCACAACATTTTATGTAAGTCCCTTCGTGTATATAAGTATGAAGAGGCTTCTATGTACAGCCAGAAACGTCACCTGAGATCTCTGTGGCCATCACTGGAGCTGTCCCCACGAGGACACTGAATGCTACCAGGTCTCACCTGGATGTCGGAAGCACTCAGAGAGAAAGGGTTACAGAGCTTCTCTCTCTCACACCAAATGTGGGGAGAACACACAAAACAAGAAGAGGCTAGCATTCAGAAGTTCCTTCTCTAAGCCTGGGAGAGCATGTTCTCAGTGACACATGATGATGTGGATACAGACTCAGGTTAGCTGCATCTCTGTGTGTAGGTCAAGGTGATTTTCACAAGGTAAAAACACAAATGATATTTCTCCTATGTCAGTTATTCCCACTTTCAGAGAAAGCCTTTTATTTCTGTATATAAACAACCCAGGAAAAACATGAGTTAAATTTACAACGCAATACTTAGCTACATCAAGTCAAAAACTAAAGTTTATACTGTCACATGAGTAATGTGTAGCGCTGGCTTCAGTCCACCCCTAGAATCTTAGGTACTCAGGAGGCTGAAGGAGAAGCGTCACACGCTCAAAGCTAGCCTTGGATAATTTATTACTCCATCTCAAAAATTAAAAAGAAACAAAACAACCACAACAAAAACCAACAAAATAAAACAAAATGGCTAGAGGTGTAGCTCAGCACTCCTTGGGTTCAAGTTCTAGTATTGCAAAACAAACACAAACAATGCGCTATAAACTCTCAAAAAGCTCAAGCAACCTTGGTCTATAGATTAAGGGACACTGTAACCCTACATGGCCTTCCTAGGATTCAGCCAATGCATGACCCAGCTGGAAAGGAGCAAGGAAAACAATGACAGTCTTGCAACCAGCTCCTATGAAGACCAAATGCTGAATGGAGAGATAGTAAGACTGTGTATAACAATAGCAATGTTGAGACACACTGGGCACCACGAAGCTTGCTGCGTGAGGAAGGGGTCACTAGCAGGACTACAAACCACAGGAAGACAGGATTCAAGTCACACAGCTCATGAAGTAGAAGATATTTCAACAGTTAGTAACCCTCAGCAATGGAAGACACTGTGACATCTCCATTGGGAGTTTAAGTGCATGACATAATGCAAATGACTCTATGGTCTGCCAGGCAAAGATCTGGCATCATAAGGGGGCACAATGCTCCAGTCAGCGCAAACAGGTTCCTGCCCACTAGAGCCAAATTCTAGTACGTGTTGCTCCCCTGGCTGGAAGAGAACTGAGGCTGGCACAGGTGCTCCTAACCACCTCCTCCTAGTCCTCTCTCAGTCCCACATTGCCAGACTGATCGCAGCCTCTGCCTAGTAGATGTATGCAAACAAAATGGAAGCAAAAAAAAAAACAGGGAACTATTCCTGGCCCTGGTTCTGCACAACTCTTGGAAAATAGTGAATGAAAACAATTCTGGCTTTTCCTACTGTGCTTCAGAAGGTCAGGTCACTGAAAACATTACAATTACGCCACACATATCCACACTAAAGCCTCTATTACACCAAATAATCACAAGCAATGGTGTAAAGTTCTAAAAATTTAAACCTGATTGTCAAAAATTAACAGAGATGAAAGTTCATTTAAGGAATGAAC